TCATAAATTTAACACTACAAATGATGCAAATGTTCAATAGCTTTTTATTTCAAGTCCAGTCTAGCTTATTACTATATTATAAACCTGTTGTTCAGCAAGGATGATAACACTAGTGTCTTGTTATCCTTTCTCAAACTTGGGAGCTACAGTTAAGTTACATGTGTTTGCTGGCAGGCTGTGTCAGTAAGAGTGAGCTGTCATTACTTATAAAACTGCCATAAAAGTCAAAGTCCATTTGTGTGGCAGTCGGTGAAGTCACATCTCGCCATGTGCAAATGCTGTGAGGAAGTTGAAAGCATGTAATGTGTGCTGCTCGAGTGGACTCAGATAAAGCATGTTATAAGCGTGAGACGGAAGCTAATGAAGCGATCTCTTGTTCAGCAGGAGGATATGGAGGTGCTGCTGGGACTCAGACAGGAGCTTTAGGGGCTGGAGGTTATGGAGCTGGTAAGAGCCCTTCAAGGTCATCCATACAATTGCATTCATTTGCATGCATTTACTTAATTAGCAAAGCAATAAAAAGATGTCCCTTTTCACAGCAATTACAAATATAAAATGTAGCATGCCAGTGTAATGTCATGAAATTTGTATCACTAACCTTCAAAAAAGGGGGTGTCTATGTGAATGTTAATATGCAATTGATTCCTGTGATGCAAAGCTGTATTTTCAGCATCATTACTCCAGTCTTCAGTGTCACATGATCTTCAGAAATCATTCTAATATGCTGATGTGCTGCTCAAGAAACATTCCTTTTCATTGATTATTAACAGTTGTGCTGCTGAATTTTTTTATGGAAGCCGTGACACATTTTATTTTTCAGAATTCACAGATGAATAGAAAGTTCAAAAGAACATTTATTTGAAATAGAAATCTTTTGTAACAATTGATAAAAAAAAGTGTTCATTTATTTTGAAAACAATACCAAACAAATGCTATCAGTATTACCAAAAATTATACAGATGAATTGGCACTGGAAAAAATTCACTCAAACAAACAACCCCCCCTATTAGGAGCTGGTTGAAAACCTCCCACTGAGAATATGTAAGCCCACTGAGAATTTTGGCAATGATTCAAATAAGAAATCTCAAAAGAGCGTTAGTTCCAGTGCCCAGAGTTCATCAGTATAAGCATACTACAATATCTGGTGTGAAATAAATGAGAATATTGCCACAGTTCTCCGATTTCAAGTTTTACATCCACCGGATCACCAAGTTTTGCCATGGAATATCCTTTTTTGGTGAAATGAGTGGGCGACCTGATCGTTTTCATCCCAGCACCCTTGTCCACGAGCTGATTTAATGAGTGTAAACTTACATCAGCGCTATTCAAACAATGGGGCAGCAACGCTGAATGTGTTATTGGAACACGCGCAATACAATAAGTGGAAATCTTGGTGCCTACCAAGTGCAACTGGACTCATTCTGATACCATAATATAAATATTGTTGCTTTGTCTGTCAAACCGAGCACTATTGGTGCATTAGCACCGTTCGGGTATAATTGAATTTCCTAAAGCAGTGCTGATTCCAGTGACATGTTTGGAGAGATAAGGAATTAAACAAATGTAGCCAGGCTCGATAAACTTTGGAGCAGCTCACTGGCTCCTCTGAGAAAGACCTTTTCACTCTGAAAGAGCTTATAAACTCCCCGATATCAGATTTTGCAGTGGAAGTTGTCTTTGGCTGCGTTTGTTGGAGCGAAGCAGGAGATAATTGTCTAATCTTTCGCTTTTCATCTTTGAGGTAAAAATGCTTAGCAGTTCTGAGGGAAGCAGACACGTTCAGACCCCAGGCCTCACATCTAGCTGATGCGCAACACACGACCTAGCATGAACGCAGTCCGCAGATAAGACAAATAAACGTATTTGAGATTAGATTGGCTGTAAGGCAGTGTCTGAATAGGCTCGGTCCCTGCAGTTCATTTGGCCAAATTCAGAATGGCTCGTGGCTGTGTAGTGTAGTACTCTTACGCATGTTACTATACTTCAATTCCAATGCTCAGATTTTGCATGTTACCAAACTAAAAAAAAAAAAAAAAAAAAAAAAACTCACCCATTTTAACTTTATAACTTAAATGTCAAACATTAGTAAAAAAAAACAAACTAATACATTATTATGTATTAAATATTATATTACAATTTTACATTTTATTTAATACTTGTATTCATTATTTAAAATTTAAATAATTAATATTTATTATATAAGAGATGCATATAACAAATTTAAAAATTAGTGGAAAATAAGAATACGTTTAAAACATGTATTTAATAACATAAATTATATATTTAACATTGTAATATTGAAAAAAAAAAAAAAAAAAAAACTCTGCACATTCTTACTGGATCATGGTAACTTTGTTTTAGAATGTTAAGAATCCATCGTAAGTAAACAGACACATGCAGCCAGGCAACTCGAAACTATAGTTATGGCTGCAGTATTAGAATAGATTTATTGATATTCGATCAGTCAGCTTGTGCCTCCATCCACAGGTGATCTCAGAAAATTACACACTGCAAATCACATCATATGAACAAAGCAAATGTGCATTGCAACAGTAACAATCAAAATAAATGTGTGTAGATCATTCCACGCAAAATAATAACAAATTAGTTTGGTCATTATTATAGAACATTATAGTGTAGAGCATGACTCGAGCAATGTCTTGGGTTCTGAGGGTTTGCATGAAGTGATAGGATTGGTGATTTATTTGATGAACACAGTCTATGACATCATGCGACTGGATTTTGTTTCTGGTATGCAGTGATCTTGACCACCAACAAACAAACCACAATGACAGCAGACAAATCCCATGCTCTCTAAATTTACACGCCATAACACTATACCCAAAGAGACAACAACACGATTATAGTAGCATAAATAATAAAGCAGTCAATCATTGTTGTTATTTGTAGCCCTCCTCCAAAGAAGTGCTCTTTAAAAAAGATTGAGCTCATGCCATTGGTCCGAGGGTTGCCATAGAAACCACAGCTGGTGGCTTTGATTGGTTGTTAGGTCCATCTATCCCTTAATTGTATATAAAAAAGAGAAGCTCCCAGAATAAAGAGGCTGCATACTAAAGTCTTTGTGATGGTCCCCAATCTTAAACCCATTTTAAGTACAATCAAATTCTATCAAGTGTAAAATTCTTAAGGTCTAACTCAAAACTGTTCATTAACTAAGAATAAGCATTCACAGGTCTCCTATCCAACCCTTCACAAACTAACCGCTGAGAAGTTACAGGTTGCCAGCTTCAGAACATTACATGCATGTTTTTCAAATGTCCTATACGTCTTTGGCCCTCTAAGATGACAAAATTAATGTTAATGTACATTTAAAGAGACACATACATCAAACCCTGCACCTCTAATTAGCATGAGCAGTTTGGAGAATGAAGTTGAGAATGAAGAACCAATTCTGGTTGCTTCAAATGTGTTCTAAATACTATACAAATAAATGTTTAAAATATTAAAAAAAAAATGTTAAGATCCTGTAATATTTACTTTATTCTGGTGGACTATCAGCATAGTATATTTATTAATGCTAAATATATTTATTACTTTTTATTTTACCATTTAGACATCTATTTGTGGTAAGTGCCACTGATAAAATGTTTTCCTTAAATACACTGAAAGCCACTTTTGCTACAGCTGTTAATGTTTTTACTTCTTATTCATTAATCATATTCTTATTATTATTTTCTTTCTTTTTATGGCTCACAACTGTATATTTGTGTGTTTTTTTTTTTAACATAGCTCTGATATTATGACCTATTTATTTCAGTAAAACTATACTTTATAGCATAGATTATAAAATTTATGAAAAACCGTTTGCTTCCCCTAGCCATCTGCTCTACTGTAAGAAGTCATAACCATTTTATAATGGCATAGTATTTGCTATCAAAAGTCAAAGTATGTGTATATGATTCAAATGCCTGATAGCACAACACCATGGTTTATAGCTGTACCCAAGTCTCCTTGTACACAATACATTTTGGGATCCCTTATAAACCATCGCGAAAAACAGCATTGAAAAATATCTAAGCCGGCCACCCCTATGAACACCTCGACTGCGAAAAGATACCTGGTGTTTAATGAAAGCAAGGTGATGCTGAGACGAGTGATGTGAGTTACGAGCTTGTCTCAGGCGAGCCCTTGTAAAACAGAGCTAATTGTGAGGCCTTGTCATCATTGCTGTGATGAGCTGTTGAATTTGGGGAGGACTTTTGGAAATTTCTTTCTTTTTATGGCTCACAACTGTATATTTGTGTTTTTTTTTTTTTAACATAGCTCTGATATAATGACCTATTTATTTCAGTAAAACTATACTTTATAGCATAGATTATAAAATTTGTGAAAAACCGTTTGCTTCCCCTAGCCATCTGCTCTACTGTAAGAAGTCATAACCATTTTATAATGGCATAGTATTTGCTATCAAAAGTCAAAGTATGTGTATATGATTCAAATGCCTGATAGCACAACACCATGGTTTATAGCTGTACCCAAGTCTCCTTGTACACAATACATTTTGGGATCCCTTATAAACCATCGCGAAAAACAGCATTGAAAAATATCTAAGCCGGCCACCCCTATGAACACCTCGACTGCGAAAAGATACCTGGTGTTTAATGAAAGCAAGGTGATGCTGAGACGAGTGATGTGAGTTACGAGCTTGTCTCAGGCGAGCCCTTGTAAAACAGAGCTAATTGTGAGGCCTTGTCATCATTGCTGTGATGAGCTGTTGAATTTGGGGAGGACTTTTGGAAACCATCCGCTAGTCCCGGGACCTGAAGCAAAGGTGGATTCTGTGTCGCTTGTCGCTGCCAACGCCGCACAAAAAGCCTTATTTTGCACAAATGTTGGGCAACTTCTTGTCACAAACGGTTAGCTTGCATGTCGTGAGACCGTGGACATTTTTCTTTGTTACACGTGTGCGTGAGATCGATCCCATAAACATCATGGCTAGATTGGAGGTGACGAGGAAAGATTTGGCTCACAAGACTTTTCACATTGAATTTATTGGATTAATTCTGCAATGGCTAAACAGGCAGCTGCATTTTATTTAGTCACCTGATCTCAAAAGCAGACTTTGTTTTGATCTGTACAGAAACCAGAGCAGCACAACCCTAAGAAAGTATGTCAGGTTTTGCTTTCCACATGCTTTTCTATGTTGTCTCAGTGAGAGGAGCCAGTTTGTTTCAGACTTGAAAGGGAGCGAGGGCTGAATGCAGAGAGAATGAAGGGTGTGGGCCAGGCAGATGAGCTGGGAAGAGCCAGAGAGTCTTGTGAAGCACATGTGCTTTTCATTAGCGGGCTCAGACCTGTCCTCAAACTGCTCGCTTCTGGCCTCTGATTGTGAATAAGGGCCCATCCTCATGTCACTGAGTCAAAGCTGATATCCTTCAACTCCCCCGGGAGCCACGCATCACTTCCTGCGCTCATCCCCAGGTGCG